CACACAAGAAATGAGCAGAATTATCACAGATTCCACAATAATAAAACCACTCATTTGGATCTCTTGATTCTTCACAAATATCACAGACACATTGATCCGAATGATGATGAATATTATCACAGTAAGTGAGTAGCAAATGATGTTCATCATACTTGTACTGGGCTGTATTTGGCGACGTAAGACATGTATAATCCAAGAAGAAATGAACACATTCCTTGAGTCTGCATATAAACACCCCTTTTTTCTGATGATCATCATCACAAATACTGCATTTGAAAGTAAATTTGTGATCAAAGAAGAGCCGGTGCCTATGTCCTTGAGTGGTGATGGTATCGGGAATTAGAAAACAAGAAATGCAGTAACCCTCATCACTTGCATCGTTCGTGGAGCCAAGCCCGCTGCCGCGAAAACAACCAGAAGCAACATTTGAACTCTATGTAAGGCACAAGAGTAAAGGTGTCCTTGGAAGCCCAATGCCGTATCTTTCTTGGCAACTCAGCGCAATACTTGTGAAGGATGTAATTGCATTCGGTACAATGGTAAAATGAAGTTGAGATGGACCGCCCACAACCATCACAACATTTTTCATCTTTCACATCATCACAAAGTACTAATTTGCATCCATGGTCGTAGTGTTTAATCTCTATGGCTATTTCTTCCTCTCCAATTTTCTTTTCCTTGAGAACACGAGTAATAGAAGGCTCTCCAACTAACCACCCCAAGTTTATTTGACTGAGATTTTGCTTTTCATCTGTACTCTTGGGTGAAAATATCTTTGTCCATTGCACAATCCACATGAACAAAGTAATCGCAACTTGGACAATGATAACACCCATACTCTCTATTGATTTTATTTTGACAAATTCTGCAACCCCTCTTCTTAACTTCTTTTTCTTCAAGGAAATAATAAATATGGGAAACTGGATGATCATGCCTTGTTATCAAGATGTTCCTTGCGAGTGAAGTGCAATCCTTATGAACTGCAATGTTACATTCGGTGCATACATAAGGAATGCAGTACCCCCCATCTGTACCACAAGCATCACAATTGAAAGAGAATGGTCTCTGTACTTGGGTAAATGGATGCTCATGATGCTTATTTTTTATCACTTTATGATCAGAGAAAGTATACTTGATCATAAGGCCAAACGCACAAAGAGAACAATATAAATGAATCCCTTGTAAGCTTTGGCGCATAAATGGCAAGACCATTTCTCTGGATGAGGTGGAGGGTTGGGTAGAAGAGTAAGAGAGTGTTTGCGGTGACTGGGGTGTTTAATCTCAAGGGGTAACTCAAAGCATTTCTGATGAAGGAAAAACTCACAATCAAAACAACAATAAACCGGACCTGATATGGGCTCCTCACTTGGAGAGCAAGATCGATCTTGGGGTTCAATGTAGTGGTTTTCAATGAAGAAGAGTGAATGTTGATGGTAAAAATGTATCAGTTTTGGGAAGTCTCCATCAATTAAGTTAGGAAGTAAAGCACATCTAATATCAAGATCAAATTCACAAGAAGAACAATGGTAAACAAACACTTCGTCACCTGATTTGTATGATTTTTCACAGGAATCGCAAGCCCACCAATTACAATCGGGGTATTTCGGCCCCTTGTCACGAAGAATTAGGGGATGGCTCGTGCGAAAGGGATGATTGATCTGCTTCGGTAGCTCGATCAGCACAAGACTTACGAAGACAAAAGTCACACTCGAAGCAGTTGTAGCTTGAACTCTCTACTCGCTCCTGACATTCTGAGCAGTAGTAAATTATAGTAATCCAATCAATCTCCTCTTCCACCAGCACCATAGGATAGGGATGACCAAAATGATCAAGCTTCTTCATATCTTAAGAGAAGATACTGATGAGTGTATGTGAGGGAGGGAGGGAGGAGACAGTAGAGCGCTTATTAATCAATGTGTTTTTCCACTCTATATTAATAATTTTTAGTTATTAACTTATTATTCTTTAATCTCCTTAAGCTTTCTTTTTATATTATTCTTTCTTAATCACTAGTTGTATTTGTATCTAATATTTTATATATATTTTTTTCGATTTTTTTATAATTATCTCATTTGATTTTTTTTTTTTTTTAAGATTTGGATATTTTGCATATTAAGTTGTAAAGATTAGATTTGAATAATTTTGTTAAAAGAAGTATATGTAATTTCATTTTTTCCCTTTATTTTATAATTATTTTTTTAGTTATATTTTTGTGTTGTTATTTTTTTTATTTTTCATTGATCTATATTTGTGGCATATACCGTCTTTATTAACAAATCTTAGCTACGTCACTCTCCAAATTAAAAACACATTAATTTAAAATCAAACAAGAAAAAAAAATGAAAAAAACAAATAGAAATCAAATAACCGAAAATTGGAGATACCAGGGAAAGCCGTTAACGGAGGGGTTAACTTGCATCCATCGAACTCCAGGCCTCGGGCTACACGGGAAAATGAAAAAAGTCTAGGGGTTTAACATTGGGCTCTTTTAACGTTCCTCGCCATTTATGTATGTAGAACTAGAAAAATCCTTACGGGAACAGAGGAAGAAGGGTTGTTCTTCCTAAATCATAGAATTGTTATAAATCCAGTCATGTTCCTCACCAACATCATGACTAATTAGAAGTATATTGAAAATGCATACTGATATTTACTTCAAACACACATGAAAAGATAAAAAAGAAAGGCATTCAATGTTTAATTATTGTATTACAAACACCAATTCAACAAACTACATTATAAATTTATGACACATTGCAGCTCAAAAGAAAAAGAAACTAAAACACAAATATAGAACACAAAGCATGGACTTTAGGTTACCTGCAGATTGAGAAGGTGGTACTACTAGGCAACCAACTGATACCTCCATCTCATCAATTTCCAAGATGTCATCTACATTCCCAGTCAACAGCATACTCGCATCCTGACTGTGTACATTTCAAGAACACCTCTTTACAATACTTGCCACAAACACTGCATCTCGAATAGTCTTGGTAATAGTGCTCCTTTGCAAAACTGAGAAGGTGCTCATGACAATTTTCCTTCGTAGTCAATCCAAGCCTTAAGAATGGGTACTTCCCAAGAACACATAAGAAATGAGCAGAATTATCACAGATTTTACAATAATAAAACCGCTCATCGGGATTTCTTGGTTCTTCACAAATATCACAGACACACTGATCCAAGTGACGATGAATATCATCGCAGTAAGTGAGAACCAAAGGATGATCATCATACTTACACCAGGCTGTAATCGGCAACACAAGACTTGTATAATTCAAGGTGAAATGATGGCATTCCCTTCGTTTGCATATAAAGGCCCCTCTTTTCTCGTGACCATCAACACAAATACTACATTTGAATGTAAATTTATGATCAAAGAAGACCGGATGCTCATGTCCCTGAGTGATGGTGTCTGGAACTATAAAACATAGAATGCAATATTCCCAACCACTTACATCATTGTGGTAGGTAAGGCCACTAACAGTAAAACAACATAACTGACATTTGGCATTTATGAAAGGCATAAGAGTGAAGGTGTCCTTGAAAGCCCAATGCCGTGTCTTTCTTGGTAACTCAGCACAACGCTTGTGAAGGATGTAATTGCATTTATTACAATAGTAAAATGAAGTTGAGATGGACCGCATGCAGCCGTCACAACATTTTTCATCTTTAACATCATCACAAAGTATTAATTCGTGTCGATGATTGAAGTGCTTAATCTCTATGGCTATTACTTCCTCTCCAATTTTCCTTTTCTTGAGAACATGAGTAATAGAAGGCTCACCAGATAACCACCCCAAGTTTTTTTCATTGAGACTTTGATTTTCATCTGTCACCTCATACTCTCGAATGAAAATATCTTTGTCCATCGCACAATTCACATGAGCAAAGTAATCACAATCTCGACAATGATAACATCCATGCTCTGTCTTGATTTCATCATGACAAATTTTGCAACTCGTCTCATTGACTTCTTTTTCTTCAAGGAAATAAATATGGGAAACTGGATGATCATGCCTTGTTATCAAGATTTTCCGTAGGAGTGAAATGCATTCCTTATGAACAAAAAGATTACAGGCAATGCATACATAAGGAATGCAGTAGTCGCCATCACTACCACAAGCATCGCAAATGAAAGAAATTGGTCTTGATAAAAGGGTGAATGGATGCTCATGATTCTTACTTTCGATCACATCATCAGAGAAAGCATACTTTGGTTTAAAGCCAAACTCACAAGGAGAACAGTAATAAATAAATCCCTTGCAAGGTTTGCTGCATAACCGGCAACAACATTTCTCATAATGAGATGGAGGATTGGCTAAAAGAGTGAGAGAGTGTTTGTGGTGGCTGAGGTGTTTGATCTCTGGGGGTAACTCAAAACATTTCTCATGAAGGAAAAAAAGGCAACTAAAACAACCATAAAAAGGACCTGATATTTGCTCTTCACATGCATAGCAAGATCGATCTTTGGGTTCAATATGGTGGTTTTTAATGAAGAAGAGTGAATGTTGATGGCTAAAATGTTGAGACTTCGGTAAATCTCGAGTAATCAAGTTTGGAATCAAAGCACATTCAATGTCAAGGTCAAAATCACAAGAAGAACAACGATAAACAAATAATTTCTCACCTGGTTTATATCTTTTTCTACAAGAATCGCAAAACCAAGAATCGTCAACGGGGCGTAACTGCCGCTTCTCATAAAGGATGAGTGAATGGTTGAGGTGAGAGGGATGATTGATCTCCCTTGGTAGCTCAGCACAAGACTTATGAAGACAAAAGTCACACTCTGAGCAGTTGTAGCTGGAACCCTCTACTCGCTCCTGACATGCTGAGCAGTAATAAATTATACTAATCGAATCCATCTCCTGATCTTCCACGAGCACCAAAGGATGGGGATGACTAAAATGATTAAGCTTCTTCATATCTCAAAAGAGAAGATACTGATGAGTGTATCTGTGTATGTGAGGGAGGCAGGGAGGAGAGAGCAGAGCGCTTATTAATCAATTTGTGTTTTAAGTTGGATTTGATTTTGAAGGAGAGATAAGACAGCAACGGCAAAGGATCGGAGTTTAGT